AATTGAAATAAAAAAGTTAAAAAATGAAAATCAATAGCTATAAATTCATAATCATGTCATAAATAATTGACATTTCATATCATTTCCATTACTTCAATCATTTATGATCCAAAAAAATTAAATATTTAAGTCACCTCAAATACCCAAATTAAATATCTAAAATAATTTCTCTGTCATGCGCCCTCTCCATCAAAATAAGCAGAGCCAACGATTGGGCACTATAAAAGTTCAAGGTCGCCTTCCAGCCTTATCGATCAGCTCTTAATATGCATAAGACAGGTAGTAGGCCTTTATTAGCTATAAATACTAATTCTTCCATTTGCCATTTGCCACACGGCATCTATTACCCTTGAATCTCAAAACAAAAAACCTTACATGTCATTGCATAGTTGGTTAAAAATAGATGAAATTTTTTGATAAAAATATGAGCAATGCTTTACCTTTTCAAAAACTTTCTTATTTACAAAATTTTGATTATTTTAATATTTTTGGTTGGGGTATCTCATAGAAGAGTTGAAGGATTTAATCTTGAAAATCTCCAATCCTATATGTACATTCTTTTGGTTGAATGGGAAGGATATTTATTGGAAAGTAAGGTTTTGTTTGGCATAACTTTCTTATTGTTTGATAAAGCGGTTTTTTTAGTTTTTTTTTTTTTTTAAAGAAAATTTTGTACTAAAAACTGTTTTAAAAAGCAATAAGAAAGCTGTTCTAAATGAAGCCTAAGCAACAGTCATATGTTTTTAAAAATTGACATGAACTGCATTATGGTGTGCTTTAAAGTTATCTAATTTGAATTGAGATTTTTGAAATTCATGATATCAAATAAAATACTAATCTTAATGCAAATCAGATGACTTTGAAGTTCACTCTTATACATCAAGATGTCTTGTATTATTTTTTCCTTCACACATGAGACAAGTTGTACGATAAACATAATAATATCTTAAATTTCTGATAAGTTATTGTTTTTATTGGGCTATAATAGGTCATGAGTTGATTGATTCAATTAGTCCAATCAGCTTGGTCAACTACTCGGTCGGTAATTATATTTAAAATATTTTAGTATTATGAATATTATTTGTATCTAATTCAATCATGTGTGAGTTTCAATCAAAGCATGACTCATAAATAAATAAGCACTAATGACCTCCCATATAGTTATCACATAATAAATAATTTTACATGTCAAAATAAGCAAGCAATTCAATAAATTTAAAATTAGAATTTAACTATATGATAGTAATTAAATAAATGAATAGTAGATCTAAAAAGAAATAAGATTTGAAAAGAAATATTAAAGTCTCAAAGAGGAGAACAAAGTCTAATTAGTAGGATGGAAAAGCTGATAAAGACACAAATAATGATTGGCATATGGCATGTTGGAGAATATGCATTTAGTGCCAACACATATATCAATTGCATGCAAGTTGAGAAGGAGATGATGCATTGACATTCATTCTTTTGCATATGTGCTATGATAACAATGTATGTAAGCATGTGGGAAAAGCTTGTGTAGATGACTAATATATTGTGCTCATAAACCATGCTTACTAACATGTCACATATAGGTGAGTTGGAAGGAGGAGATATGTCTTTGCCTTTGAAGGGCTGAATTCTCAACATAATTCTAACTAGGGGTGTCAATTCGGGTCAACGGGTCGGGTTCGGGTCGATTCCGAAACTGACCCGGCACTGTTTTGGTCAACCCGAACCCGACCCGTTTTTAAAAATGGGACAGGTTTTCGGACTCGATCACGACCCGATTCGGGTCCGGGTCAACCCGACCTGACACGAATGACTCGAAGTTGACCTAAAATTGATAGTTTTCGGGTCAAAATCGGGTCAATCTTCAATTTTTTGGTCAAAAAGGGTAAAAAATGGGTCAATCTCGGGTTTTCGAGTCAAATAAGAGTTTTCGTGTCAATTTTGGGTCATTTTCGAGTTGATGGGTCAACCCGAACCAGACCCGATTTTTAAAACGGGTTGATTTGTTGAACCCGAACCCGACCCGTTTCGAGTCCAGGTTGACCCGAACCCGGATTTTTTCGGGTCAGGTTCGGGGCGTGTTTCGGGTCGTGTCAAAAATTGACACCCCTAATTCTAACAATGTGCCCAACTAGATGCAACTTGACAATCTTGTGCAATCTAAGTGTGAAATTTGAAAATAAGAGAAATGTGGAATGATATATGAAAAATGAAAAAAAAAAAAAGATAGTGAGAAATTAATCTAGCCAAATAAATAACTATATAATATATTAGTATTAAATAAGTTGTATCTAAAAAGAAAGTGGATTTACTTACACACCACTATAAAAATCTTTGTTTAAATATCTAATATAATTACCAATTCATATTTACTTATATAAAATCTAAACCCCATGATAACTCAAATCCATTACTACTGTTAAAAAATTATAAGCTTTATTCTTTGCATGTTATAAACAGGGCTATTTAACCTAATCTGCTCATTCTCTATCACCTTTTTAATAGCATTGATTTGTGATCAGGTAATGTTGGTCTCAATCCAGCTCATTGATGCTCACACACTATAAACTTGAGACTGCAACTGTTCTAACAAGGAGCAACTCCAAGTCATTAGACTTATCTACATGCATAATCTTACAAATAAGTGCATTTGATGAACATATCGATATTGATTTATATGATACTTATTCATATATACTTTTACTTAATTGAATAAATTTAAACAAAGTCTTCATCATTTGGAACGGCTATTTTAAGAAGCAGTAAAAAAGTCATCCCAAACGTGACTAAAATCTTAAAAGCTTTTTTTAAAAATGAGACTATTTGAACATTGTGGCTTATTCATTTATGTTTGTGAACATGTCTAATTGTTGTTTAACAAGTTAACTCTCTAAAAGTTTAATAAAATACTCTTTTAAAGATGACTAAAGTGCTTATTTGATGGCTTATTTTATATTCATTTATCAATTTTCTTATATAATCTACACTTTAAAATTATTTCCGGATTTAATTTTTGAAGTCTCCAACTAGTTTTTGCCTCGAGATTCGTGCCTGATCAAGCTAATTTTGTGATGATGTATCAATATTATTATAAGTTTAATTATATGAAAAAATCGACTAAATAGCTAGATATGTTGGTTTATATTTTTATTGTATTAATATTTAAATTTCACCAACTTAAATAAAATTTAATAAACTATATCAATTTTTATTAAAATATATAAACATAATTATATCTATCAATTAGGCTATATATTAAATTTAAATTTTATTTTAAAATAATTACAATGTTTTTACTACAACAAAATTTAGATTAAATTTTAATTCGAATATTTCTTCCTAATATTTTTCCTATTAGTATTTCATAAATAATAAATTCATTTTCCAAAACATTGTGTTCAAGTGCCTTGTCTTACACGGTCATCTCTCTCTCTCTCTCTCTCTCTCTCTCTCTCCTTTCTCTTGTACATTGGGGCTATGGAGCGGACAAAGAAGCGATGCTCGCCCGTGACCATTGCATGTGACGAAAAGAGAAGACGTTTAGTCTCACGGCTCCCACAAGCCACCACTCACGTGTCGTCTTCCTTCCCCTTCTCTCTCTCTCTCTCTCTCTCTCTCTAAATTTTTGTTCCAAATTTATATGAAATTAACTTGGTCCTCTGCTTCGTAATCTGGGTTTTCCATTTCGTAGATTTCTTGAGTCTGCGTAACTATGATTCTTCTGAACAAGACAGAAGAAGTTCATGCTGCGTGTGAGCCTTTGCGGTTAAAGCAACTCATCTTGAGCTATTCATTGGATTAATTATTCTGTGTCGACCTCAAATATCGTCCAAAGATCAATCAAAATATGTCATGTCATTCGTGCGCTCAGTACCACTCTACCATGACTCGATATAGTTGATATGATGTGGCGCATTCTGATAGGCCTCTGGTTGACGTTCTATGCCCGGTCTCTACATATAATATTTTCTCTATTGATTCAGAGTTTTGACAATCAATTAAAAGATTTTGAGCTCAGTCTTATTTTTATATTGTGTGATGTCCCAAAGAAAAGCCTTTGCAGGTAAAAGTGAACTCTGCTACAATAGGCCAATATGAGAAGGATTTGGATAGAGAGAGAGAGAGGGAGCGAGAGAGAGTTGCGGAGCACCATTAGTAGATTTAAAAATTTTGAATTGTTTTTTATTGAAAAAAAAAAAACAGCCTAGCCAACTTAATTTGGAAAAGGGCATTGTAAATTATTCTTTACTGTAATAAAGGTTGGTACTAAACATTTTCTTAAATGGAATGGACGAATGATGGAGCTTAATAAGCCACCTGACAAGTTAGCTCGCATGTGCAGCTTGCTGGTTGAGCGAAGTTGTTTCTTCCAATGCGGCTCACGTTCGAACCGCTAACTGCCCAAAAGAAAAAAAAAACTTAATTTTGCAAAATGAGCAGATTAGTTTAGTCATAGAAAACCTTATCTTTATTAAATTACTTCACTCATGAAGGTGAGAGAAACTCTTCTAATAACAAAGAAAATCTTATATATATATATATATATTGAAAACATTTTTTAACTTTACGGTGAATTAAACTTAAAATCTTGCACACATATTAAATATATAAACTTCGAACATAAGACCTCTTGAATGATAGCCTAAGCTTCCAACAGATCAAGATGAGGTGAAAAAAAACTGAAAAATTAGACATTGAAAGCCCAAACAACTAACTAATTAAGACACAAGTGGCTTGACACTAATAACTAATATAAGCCTAACCTTTGTCAGTTGGCTTTGGCAACTTAATTATTCCAACTAAATAGCCAAAAGGAATAAAAAGAGTATGAGGAAAATCAATGACAACTATAAAAGGATAGCAAAAGCTTTCTTCATGAAAAATAAAATAAAATAAAATAAAATGGCTTTAGGAATTGTACGTAAGGCAGCATGTGAAGAACATCTTTAAGGTGTCCTGTTTCTTTCTGCAGGCACAAGAATTATGACGCTTCAATATAATAATAATAATAATAATAATAATAATATTATGTGCTCAATACATATTATGATATGTAAAGAGCTGCAAAAGAAGTTAAAACATATAGTGTAATAAAATATTTGACTGACCAGCCATGATGCCATCGTTTCCACTTTTTTCAGAGCAATGAGGGCTATTTAAACTGTGAAGAATTCCCTCCTCTCCTACCAACTCACCCTCCCTTTGCCCTCTCTCGCTTCTCTGCCCCTTAGCTTTCTTTCTCCATCAAATGCTTCTCAATACAAGAAACATAATTACATCAAATATTGCCGGAAAGCAGAAGAAAGACATGGCTGGATTCAGCTTGAAAGGCTTTGTGGCAATCCTTCTCCTCATTCTCCTCCTGCTCTGCTACAACTTTGAGGTCTGCGAGGCAAGAAGAGGCAAGCATTGGAAGCAGAGGAGGCCTCCCGCTTCCTCTCTAGCCAAGAAAAAAGGAAAGGGGAAATCTGGGGGCGGCAGTCACAATAACCACCACGGCGGCGGCGGGGCGAAACCAGCTCCTCCTGTGCCGAGCCCGAGCCCGCACCCGAGCAACAATTCCATGTACAACGTGCTTGATTTTGGGGCGAAAGGCGACGGGGTGACTGATGACACTAAGGTGGACAAAATACTACTACTCTTACTCCATATATCTTTGGCATTCTTCAATAATTTTTTGTTTACATTACACAGGCACCATATCTTCCCTTATTTGTTTGCACAATCTTGCATTATTTTTTATTCTGTTGGATCTGTTTGTTTATCTTCGCAGACTGGAAATTTTGTTTGCATGCCTGTGAAGCTGAGAAAGTGATGGTCGAAGCATAGAACGTTAACATTATTATTATTTTGATAACCAATTGAAGGGTTCGATGCTCCATAGCTTTTAGAAGGAAAGTTAGTACTCATTGCAGTGTAAATAAATTACGCAGGATGTCTTATATGATAAGGGGGTAAAAAGCATCTTTTGTGTACTTAAACCATTTGCTTCTCTTTGTCTCATGTGACTCTTCACAAAAAGGGAAAAAATAAAAAATGTGACGATGAAGCATTGTCCGTATGCCAGTAAAAACTCCGGTCGACCTAGCATGCAACCCACACCAATTTACACGGGCCAATACTTACGGCTTTCACTGCTTGCCAAGGGATTTGAAATAGACATGATCTCACGAAAAAAAAAAAAAACTCTTAGGACATCTAAGAGGGGGTTTTTTTTTTCCATCGTAAATTCAGGCTTCATTTCAAAAAGTTGATAATATATGTTTTTTTTTAAAAAAAAAAAAGCTAAACAAGAATTGAAAAGTCAGATCACTAATTGCATAATTACCATCAAAATTGTGATGTCCAACCCCTGTCTTAACCCTATTTGTTTCACATTTGGCCAAATTTTTGTTCTCAATATTAATGTTAAAGTACCATCGAATAATACTAAACTTATTGGTCAAACTGGCAAAATATTTCATGAAGTATTAGCAACTCTTCTTGCAATAAAATCAGGGCATAGCTTTCAAGCATTTAATTCCCCCTTAGTATAAATAAGTTCTTAAAGATCTCTTTTTTGGGGATCAGCATCTTTCATAGAGGGAATTTCTGAAGCTAAGTATAATAGCAGTAGAGAGAGCTACCATGTTGTTCACTGGAAAATTACAATGCAGGCATTTGAAGATGCTTGGATGGCAGCCTGCCAGGTCGAGGCATCAACGGTGAAGGTTCCATCGGATTACGCATTCCTCGTCGGTCCGATCTCCTTCTCGGGTCCCTACTGCCAGCCTAACATCATATTCCAGGTATGCTACTGCTGCTAAAAACATAGCTTAAAAAGAGAACAGCAGGTTTATCTCAGTTTAAACAAAGGGAGGAGGACATAGCACAAAAGCTCATCCTTCAGATCAAAGAAATGGCAAATTCAGATAAACCAACGCATGCCATGTGGATACCTTTAATTTCATCCGTTTCGGCTTGCGCTTTAAAGATTGCTTCGGCACAAAATAAGAAACGATCTCTCCAACGCATAAATGGTTGTGAATTTACGTTTTCATCATCCTTAGTAAAATCAAGTCCACCCCGTAGACATTCATAAACCGCTCTACCGTAGTTTTTTGCGGATAATCCCAATTTTGGTTTAATAGTACATCCCAATAGGGGACGACCATACTTGTTCAATTTATCTCTTTCAACTTGGATGCCATGAGGCGGACCTTGGAAAGTTTTGTAATAAGAAGTAGGAATTCGCAGATGTTCCAGACGTAGAGCGGTTTATGAATGCACATTTTGAAGAAACTCAAAATTGACAAGAAATAGCCATGAAAAAGAAAAGGTAAAGATGGCATACAATGAAAGAGACGTACAAAAAGATGTGCGCATTAATAACCCGGACCATGTTCCAACCATCTGATTGCTTCATGTGAAAAAACACGAGCAAAAATCCAAAGAAAAAAAAAATTGCAAACTAAGATGTATGGTGGATTGGAAAAGGATTTCAAAAGCAGCAACGTAATAAAAGACATGATCAAGTTTCAAAATTCTTGGTTAGAAGCAAAGCTGTTTGAAGATTCTATCTGTCAAGGGAAAAAGGAAAACAATAGCAGTTTATTTGGAGTTTTTTATTAGGAAACCCACCCGTTAAACATGTGACTGCCAACGGCCAACTGATTTCTGATGTAGAATGATTTCAAAATGAGTGGCTACAGTTGCTGTCAGCATGTGAGACAATAGAATGTGAGTAAGGAATAGTAGCTGGCAAAGATGCCTTACATGAGGTTATAAGAAAAACATAATCTTTCCCGATGTAAAAGTAGTTATTACCCACCTGGCAATAAAAATGAATAAATAAATAAACAATTATACCTGATGATTGGGTCTTTTATTTGTTGCAGCTAGATGGGACGATTGTTGCGCCTACAAATTCAAAAATCTGGAGCTCAGGACTGCTTTGGTGGATAGAGTTTACAAAGCTGAAAGGAATCACGATTCAAGGTCATGGCACCATTGAAGGCAGGGGAAGTATCTGGTGGAGCCAATCAGAACCCAACAATGAACCTGTAAGCCTGAAGCACCCTACAATCGCCTTTTGGTTTGTGCTAGATAGCTCCTCTGAATTCCATTTACAAAATTTTTAACGATGCCTGTTGCAGATAAATGAGGACCTTGACATGAAGATGCCAAGCATAAAACCAACTGTAAGCCATAACAAACCAAACTCTTTATTTTTTTTCTAAACCTTTAATCAAGAGCATGACTTAGATATATTCTTCTTCAGGCATTAAGGTTTTATGGTAGCTACAATGTAACAGTGACGGGCATAACCATCCAAAACAGTCCTCAGTGTCACCTCAAGTTTGACAATTGTGAAGCTGTCCATGTCTTCAATATGTCGGTCGCATCCCCTGGCGACAGCCTCAACACGGACGGAATCCATCTTCAGAACTCCAAAGAAGTTGCAATCCACCACTGCAATTTGTCCTGCGGTAATCCCATATAGCCTTCCTGGACAGTCATGGGATGTCTAAACTTTCAATGCATTATGCTCGGTGGTTATCATTTTTGCTTTACTGTGCATCTACCAACCTACAGAATGAAGTTAACATAGATGTGAGTATATGAGAAAAGCATTGCATAATGAGATAATTCAGCAGGCTGACCTTCCCACCACTCCAATAAATAAGCATAACATGTATTCTTGTAATTAATAAGATCTCCTGATGTATATTCCTGGTGCGTATCATGACGTCGTATTTGTGGTTTAAGAAATATTCATAAAATTTTCCTGCTGCAGGTGATGATTGCATATCAATTCAGACAGGATGCAATGGTGTTAAAATACATAATGTAAACTGTGGACCTGGCCATGGGATCAGCATAGGAGGGCTTGGAAGAGACAACACCAAAGCCTGCGTCTCCAATATTACAGTGCAGGATGTCAACATGTATGGAACCATGACAGGTGTCAGAATCAAGACCTGGCAGGTATGTTAACATGCCGTGTTACTCACTGACCACTGACATAACCTGGTAACTAATACCACTTGTAAAAATATTCAATGCAGGGTGGTTCAGGTTCAGTCCAAAACATAAGGTTCTCAAATATCAAAGTTTCAGAGGTGCAAACTCCCATAGTGATTGATCAGTTCTACTGTGACCGAAGTTCCTGCAAGAATCAGACAAACGCAGTAGCGTTATCAAGCATCGCATATGAGAGTATCAAGGGAACATATACTGTCAAGCCTGTGCACCTAGCGTGCAGTGATAACACTCCTTGCTCAGAGATCAGCTTGACTGAAATAGAGCTCCAACCCATGCAAGAGCATTATCATATGTATGATCCATTCTGCTGGCACGCTTTTGGGGAACTGTATACACCAACCGTCCCTCCGATTTTCTGCCTGCAAAATGGAAAGCCAACAAGCAACCGCATCCTCTCTGATCATGACATCTGTTGAAAGTGCTTATTGAGAAACTTGATGTATATAATGTGTGGTTGTGATGCTTCCAACCCCCTTCAATTCACACCATGTCCCAGAGAATACAACTACATGGTATTTACAAGAGGGCATCTATGCCTATTGGCATGGTTGTACCCATGAGGTAAATAATTTATATGGCTCCCGTATCTCCAAGGTGATGCAAAGAAGGTTGTTTACTAGTGTTTTTTTTTTTTTACTGGTGCTTATTTGGAGGCTATATGGATGTCTTCATGGTTAAATATTGCTGGGTACTAGTCAGTTGTACGAAGATATCAATTAAGAAGCACTACTACGTTGTACCATCATATAGAAATATGTTTCTAAGATTATATTTCTAGAGTCTTGATTTGAAATTGATTAATCACTACCTCTTCAAGTATCAGGAGAAAGCAAGCGTTTGAAATGTTCTGCAAAAGATCCATGGTTCAAAACATAGCAAAAGAACTACAAAATTGAAACATTGATGGGTAATCCTTGTCAAGGAAAATTGCTTATATTATCCACACTAAATTAAGTGGTAAATGGCTAAGCTTGAGTCAAGTTAAACATTTGGTGAAAATAAACATGAAAGAACTAAGAAAAATATAATTAGAGCAAAATGACATGTAAACAGTAGAAGCAAATAACACTGATAGGAAATACTTGAGTTCGCAGTAATCCTAATCCCAACCAGTGAAAATCTAACAGCGAAACTGCTGTCCACAGTAGTTTAACAGCAGGAAACACAGAAAAATCTTAGAGGAAAGCAGTAGAACTCGTAGGGAAACGAAGCAAACACTTTTATATCAATAGAAGATGAAAAGCACTTGCAAGATACAACTTTCCTTCAATTCGAGAGGAAGGAAAAACTCTCCAACGATCTCCGGCGAAGCCAAGAGCCCAAGAACACCAAACCCTAAATCTCAAAATAATTCAAATTCAAGATGAGAGCCAATTCTCACCATAACTCCTAATTAAAGACAAAGGACAATTACAAAATACCTAAAACAGCCCCTCATTCAAAAATTTCCCTCCCTGTTGGACCGGTCCAAGTGGGCGGAAACGGCAAGGGGGGTGGACCGGTCCCTGTTGGACCGGTCCAGCCGACCCTTCCAGGGCCGGCCTAACAGTACTCCCCTCCCAAAAACTCACCTTGTCCTCAAGGTGAAATTCGGGGAACTGTTGCTTCACAATTTCATAAGGCTCCCAAGTGGCTTCGTAATCGGGAAGATCATTCCATTTGATCAATACCTCCTTGTTTCCCTTTTTATCAACCCTCACTCCTTGCAGCTCCATAGGTTCCATGACTACCTCCAACTCCTTTGTCAAAGATGCTGGTAGTTCCGCACTAGCTACCTGTTCCCCTAACGCTCTCCTCAACTGTGACACATGGAACACCGGGTGTATAGTAGCGGAAGAGGGCAACTTCAGACGATACGCCACTGCTCCGATCTTGTCCAACACTTCGTAGGGGACAAAATATATTGGCGCCAATTTCTCATTCCTTCTTCTCGCTACTGTCCTTTGCCTGTAGGGTCGTAGTTTTTGGAATACCTTCTCTCCCACTTCAAACTGCAGGTCTCTCCTGTGTGAATCCGTCTGCTTCTTCGTGATCTGTTGGGCCCTCATCAGATGCTTCTTTAATTCTTCCAGCACCTTGTCCCTTTCCTCCAGGTAGTGCTCAACTGTCGAGACCGGTGTACTTCCTTTCCCGTAGTGCACTAAGTGTGGGGGATCCCTTCCATATAGCACTCTAAATGGAGTCATCTGAAAGACTTACTTGATGTTTCTGAAGCAAAACACCTCAAGTAGGTCTCCAAACTTCGGTTCACCACCTCCGTTTGCCCATCGGTCTGTGAATGGTAGGCGGTGCTTCTCTTTAGGACCGTGCCTTGCATTCTGAACAACTCTCTTCAAAACTGACTGAGGAACACTTTGTCTCGATCAGACACAATAGATTCAGCGACCCATGCAGTCTGACCACCTCCCTGATAAATGCCGCCGCCATTGACACCGCAGTGTAAGGATGCCGTAAGAGAATGAAGTGTGCATATTTGCTGAGTCTGTCCACCACCACCAGAATCGACGTGAATCCTTCTGACCTGGGTAAGCCATCGATGAAATCCATGGACACTTCCTCCCAAACTCTGTTTGGAAGTGCCAATAGTTGTAGTAAACCTCCTGGAGTCATGGCCATGTATTTGTTTCTTTGGCAGACCTCACAACCCGTCACCATCTCCTCCACATCTTTATGCATCCCTTTCCAGTAGAGTTCCGCTGCTAGCCTCCTGTATGTCTTCTGAACTCCTGAGTGACCTCCAACTGAGCTGCCATGAAATTCCTGCAACAGGTGGGGGATGTGTATGGAAGTTCGTGGCATCACGAACCTCCCCTGATACAATAGTCTCCCACCTTCAATGTAGTAACTAGGATGACTACTCTTGTCTTTCTCCAGATCCTCTCTGATCTTCCTCAGCTCCTCGTTCAGCATGCTTTCTTCTTTGATGGCCCCCCAGTCTACTATCAATGGCACCGACACAACCAACTCCTAAATCTCCCCAATGCATCTAGATAAAGCATCGGCCGTCTTGTTCTCCAAACCAGGCTTATATTGGATCTCAAAATCATAGCCTAATAGTTTGGATAATCACCTCTGATGCTCTTCGGTTACCATCCTTTGCTCTAGCAAATACTTCAAGCTCCTCTGATCAGTCCGTACGATGAAGTGTCTTCCCAAGAGATACGGCTGCCACTTTTGAATTGCCAAGACAATGGCCATCAGCTCTCTTTCATACACTGACTTCAATCTAGCTCTGGCTGAAAGCACTTGACTGAAGTATGCTACTGGCTTGTGATTCTGCATCAACACTGCCCCTAGCCCATATCCTGATGCATCTGTCTCTACTACAAAAACCTGATCAAAGTCTGGAAGAGCTAGAACAGAAACAGTCGTCATGGCTTCCATCAACCTCTCGAATGCCTGGGTGGCTGCCTCTCCCCAGCAAAAATTGACCTTCTTCAGCTGCTCAGTCAAAGGCTAGGAAATGGTACTGTATCCCTTCACGAACTTCCTGTAGTATCCAATCAATCCTAGAAAACCCCTCAATTCCCCGAGGTTCCTAGGTAGCAGTCATTTCTGCATTGCTTCAATTTTAGTTTGATCCACTGCCACTCCTTCTTGAGACACCACATGTCCCAAGTATTCCAAACTTGCCTGAGCAAAATTGCACTTCTTCAGGTTGGCTTTCAACTGGTGCTCCTGAAGCACTTCCAATACCACCCTCAGATGTTCCAAGTGCTCTTCCACAGTCCTGCTGTACACCAGGATGTCATCAAAAAAGCCCAGGACAAACTTCCTGAGGTGCTGCTTGAATACCCGATTCATCAAGGATTGAAAGGTTGTAGGAGCGTTAGTCAATCCAAAGGGCATTACCAGAAATTCATAATACCCTTCATGTGTCCTGAACGCCGTCTTTGGAACATCTGCCTCCCTCATTCTGATATGGTGGTATCCGAATTTCAAATCCAGCTTCGAAAACATCACTGCACCATGTAGCTCGTCCAGCAACTCATCAATCACGGGAATTGGAAACTTGTCTGGTACAGCGCCTTTATTCAGAGCCCTGTAATCCACAAAAAATCTCCAACTCCCATCCTTCTTCTTGACCAGAAGGACTGGACTAGAAAAAGGGCTATTGCTGGGTCTGATAATCTCCGCCTCCAGCATTTCCTGGATCAACTTTTTAATCTCATCTTTTTGAATCTGTGGGTAGCGGTAAGGACAGACACTGATCGAAGTCTCACATTCTTTGAAATTAATGGCATGCTCCAACTCTCTCTGAGGAGGTAAACCCTGGGGAGGTTGAAAGACCTCGCTGAACTGGTGTATGAGCAGCTGTACTATAGTAGGAACATTTCCTTCCTCCTCCAATCTGACTCCTTCCAGGCGGTGCAACTCTGCTAAGTAGCCTCCCCCCTCTTCCTGAATGGTTCTGATGAGGGATTTGAGAGAAACCCCCGCCTTGGTCAGTCCGGAATCACCCTGAATCGTCCTCTTTCTTCCCCCAACCACCAACTCCATCCTCAGTATACCCTAATTGATTTTGGTCTCTCCCAAAGTCTACAACTATTTCATCCCAAGGATGACATCCGTACTCCCCAATTCTAAGGGAAGGAAGTCTTCCTTTACATGGATTCCTTGAATCTTCAGTACTACTCCTCGACAGACTCCTCGTCCCATCTCTACCTTCCCGGTGCCCATCATTACCCCGTAACCTCCGGTATCCACTAGCTCCATCCCCAATGCATCAACAATCTAGGTGGAAATGAAATTGTGTGTTGCTCCACTATCTATCAACACCACCACCTCACAGTCAGATATCTCTCCTTTCACCTTCATAGTGTGACTCGAAGTGAATTCCTCTACTGAGTTCAAAGAGACTTCTGCTACGTCCAGATGCAACTTCTCCTCCTCCAGCTCGGGGTCATTCCCACCTCCCTCTTCATCTTCCTCGTCTTCACAGACGAGGAGAACCAGAAGAGATCGATCCTTGCACCTAAGCCCCGGCATGTACTTCTCATCACACCGGAAGCACACCTCTTTAGCCCTTTTTTCCTGCAGCTCCTTCTCGGTCAGCTTTTTGAACTGCCCCCCGTTACTAACTCCTCCCATCTTCTCCTTGGGTGCTTCCTTCATGCTCTCGGGGCCTGCCAATTTTGCTGGTAAGAATGTGGTCGTCGTCCTGTACGACCCCCCTGAATAGTTACCCGAGTCCCTCTTTCAGACTTTTTCTGACCCTCCACCAACTGGGCTAACTCCATGGCCTTGCCTAGATTCCTTGGCTCCAACACTCTGACTACTGTTCTTATCTCTGGTTTCAGCCCTTTCATGAAATTCCCTTCCAGGGCTGACTCCGAAATATGATCTAGCCTGCTAGCCAGATACTCAAACTTGTCCCGGTAGTCTGCCACGGTCCCCTCCTGAGTCAGAGCAAATAATTGCTCATAGAAGTCTCCTCCATCATCGGCTCGGAAACACTCCAATAAATAATCCTTGAACTCTCTCCAGCTGCGAATGGGCTCCCTCTTGTCACGCCACTAATACCATTCTAAGGCTTTTCTCTCCAAGCACATTCCCGCCGCTGTCAATTTCTCCTCCTCTGTCAGCCCATTGACAGCAAAATATCGCTCCACCTTATAGATCCAACCATGGCCGTCTTCGCCCTCGAAGACGGGCATCTTCAGCTTCCTCACCCTTGGATCTCCTCCATTACCCTGGTACCCTCCATAACCCCCCATTCCTCGAAGAGGAGGTGCTCCCCAAGTGTCCCGATCATCCCTACGGCGATGGTATTCGAATTCGTCGTCATATTCC